TTTTATTTAAGGGGTTTCACATGTTAGTCGCCCACAACTATTGAACCTCCTCCAGCATGGGGTCGTGGCTAAAAATAGGCTCCACCAAAGAGTGAGTCGGCGCCACCTTAGGAGTCAAGTCGCCACCTCAAGAACAAAACTTACCACAATGAGCAGTATGAGCTCATTACAATGCAAAGACTAGTTTATCATGTCTTTTATATAAAGGCATATCACCAAATCTCTAGAAAAGGATGACTTTCTCCTTGAGTAGCTTAATTATCACTATCTTCAGCTTGGTTTGCTTGACCTTAATTGGCCTAACTTCCACATCCTTCATCGACTCTATTTCCATAGCCTTACTAGGTTTTCCCTAGCTGGTTTTGTCAGCCCAACCACAATCGTCTTCTTCTTCTCAAGAGGCTAATCAGACTTCTTCACTTCAGCTTCCCCCATCTTGCATTTATGAAGAAGGGTTTCTGCCCGCCGCTTGTTATCCATATCAGCATATTTGGAAATGCTCAAGTTGGCAATCTCTCAAGCAAGTTAGTAGAAAATTGCTAGTGTGTTTGTAATATGATTGTGTCAATCAATCGGATTGTACTAATACCTCGAATTTCAAATCAATTTCTCGTGCTTGTTACCGGTGGGGTCCTCTCCCTACTTGGGGTTCTAGTGCTTTGCACATGAATTTTTTTTCTTATAACACCTTGACGTTGTGTACTCGAGTGCCAGCACTGTATACCCGAGCACCCCGACGCTCGATACCCTACAAAGTTTGCTGTGAGAAAAGACATTAGTAAAACTCCACAATATTATAAATTCAATGATGTTGCTGTAAAACCCCTCAAAAAGCTAATTTTTTTTAGTGCTGTTAGTCCCGGACGAGCTGCCTTAGTCTCGGACGAACTGAAGAAAATTGTGAAGAAATCTGTCATTTTCGTCTGTAAGAACCTGGAAGGGTCGGGACGAACCGTCGGGACGAACTGAACCCGAGAGTTTCGTCCAGGGACGAAATAAATTGGAATTAATTTCGTCTTGACGATTTGAGTCCAGAGAAGATCGTCCCGGGACGAATCGGGACATCGTCCGGGACGATCCTGCTTAATAAATATCTGAATAGTGCCGATTTTGAAGAGAGAGAAAGCCCATGAGAGAGAAAAATGAAGGGAAAAGAAGAAAAGTAGATTTTTGGGCAACTTCGACTCGTTTTCGTCCGTCGCCGTAGTTGGGAAAGTTGACCGACTCGAGGTAAGGCACATTCCGCCTTTCTCAATTTTCAGAAACGAAAATCTATATAGAAGGTACTCCACTTAATGTAATAGTAAAAATAAGATAGTAATTCTCATTTACTCTCTCTTTTGTCATTTGGTAAAGATAATAAATACTTCTAATCTTAAATTCTCTTGCCATTTTTCATTAGTTGCTCTTCAAAGAAGTAGTCGCCTCAAAAGAGCTTACTTCACACATTTGTCTTTTATAAGTATAGTCTTTCTTGTAACTCTCTTAAACTATAAATAAGAGGTTAAGAGACATTTTAGACTTCAATTTTATACTATTATATGACTCATGCTGCACATAATTGGACATGGCTTCAAAACTTGTTTAAATTTGAGCATGCTTGAACCAATTTCAAATACATTAACTTTAGAAAACAGTTCGTAAATGGAATAATTTTCAAGAAACAAATAACGAAGTTTTTCTTCAATCATGAACATTATAAGTCATATAAGTCAAATTTCTTTTTATTGGTCATGTTTAAATATAAGTGGATGAGGAGAAATTTTTTTTTTTTCATTTTTTATACTAGTATAATATTTTTCATCACTACATATTCTACCATTTATAATATATACATATAAACAAAGATTTTTTATATAATATCTCTACATATTAATGATACATCCTCAAAAAAAGTATCTTGATCATGCATGAATCTCTAGGAAAAATCAAGTTGAAAACTTCTGAAATTAAAATTGGGACCATCTGAACTCCAATTTCAGTGAAATTATAGTTGAACTGAACGTCTTGGAAATACAAATCCAGCGACACCAAATTCGACTCAATCTGAGCCCAAATGGGTCCAAATAAAGGGCCTGAAGCATTGTTGGAGGGTTCGAACCATAATTTGGATTACCAAATTATTTTCAAACTTGACATGCTTATAATCGAATCGAGCGGCTCAATGAAGCGAATCCAACGAGCCTAAGATTACAGAATTCTGATATCATTAAGACATTTAAGGCAAATTCACACATACAACGCATACACAAAGACTCGAACCAAAGGCCTCTTAGTTAGAAGCATAAGCTCTCAACCAACAAGCCAAAATGAGCTGCGTGTAAAATTTTCAAGTTAAAAAATTTTTATACTAAAACATTATTTTATAAAGCAGTAAAAAAGCTCTCTCAAACGCTTCTAATTCAAACTGCTAATTTTTTTCAAAATCTGAGTCAAAGCTGCCATCTGTGAAGATAATTAAATCTTAGAACCAGTAATCAGAGCCTCATAGGGCAGGATGCAATAAGATTCAACCACATGGTGTGAGAAATTACCATCATATAATTTGTCAGACCTCTGTACGGTATTAATGAATAAATAAACAAATATTATTTATTTAATTATTACATAATTACATATATTCTCCTAATCTTCATCTAATCACTAATTTTGTTTTCTTGCTATCAGATGTCAAATGCTATATCATCTGCTTTGTCATTATAAGCCTCAGCAATACTCCAATAGTCAAACTAAGTAATTTTCTAGTTTGCTTTCTTAGATCATCCTCTATATTTATCTATCAAGAAAATAAATTTTTAAATTTATTAAAATTTAAATATTTAATTTATGTTGGATTGTGAAGCTTGTTTTTTAAGCCAAAATAATTAAAAATAATAATCTCTTATCATAATCATTCAAAATGGTTATGATAAGAGGGACTTGAGATTGCTTGAGTGGCTTATAGTGGTTTGAACTTTGAATATATTACATAATATAATACTCTGGAAGATTCTAGATTTAGACTATTTAAGACACACGGAAGCATTTTAAAGTTTTTAGAGAATATATAAATGCTTTGGATCACTTTTTAAGGTTCATTTGGAATAGCTGCAGCCTTTTATAAAAAGAAAAAAAAACTGGTGTGGAGACAACAGTCTACTGTAGAAAGCAACTTCTTAGCATAAAAATTTATTGAAAATAATACAAAAATAATTATGAAATAAAAACTATGATTATGATCAGAAAAGCTAAACAACAAGAATATTGTCCCAAATAAAATCTTATATTCAAAGATAAGTTTAGAAGATTCAATAATATATATATGACTTAACACTTTCTATTTCTACACTCAAAAGGAATTTAGAATTTTATAAAGAATACATAAATGAGTTGACCTTAGACTCAAAATATAAATATAGAAGATTCAAAAGAATATATAAATAAACTATTTTTTTATAAAGAAAAATCTAAAAATTTTCAGAGAAGCCAACATTGCCAATTGGGCATTGACTGCAGTTTGATAGCTTCAGACTTTAGGAACTAAATCTTAAAAAGAGTTCTAAAGATGACTATACATACACAAACAACACCTGCTTTGAATAATGGCTACCATATCTTAGGTCTCGTTTGGGACAGTTTTCTTATTGTTTTTTAAAACAACTTTTTAAAAAACTGTTTTAAGAAGCAACAAGAAAGCTGCCTAAACGAACCCTTAATATCTCCACAAAAGCAAGTATGAGATGCGCCTTAAAATCCTATTCCCTAGCATATAACATAAAGAATAGCTTTATTATGATCAAATTTGAAAATATCTTACCATCAATAATGGCATGAGGTTACACTCATATATGGAGATTCTAACTAGCTAAATATAGTTCTTGATATATCATTAAAAATTTATCTTGATCGGGCACGAATCTCGAGGTAAAATCAAGCCGGAACTTTCTAAAATTAAATCCGGGATCAATTGAACTCCGATTTAAGCAAACTTATAGTCAAACTGAGCGTCTCGAAAATACGAACCCAACGGCACCAAATTCAACTCGATCTGAGCCAAATGAGTCTGAATAGAAGACCCGAAGCACTGTTGGCAAGTTCAAACCACAATTTGGATTACCAAATGGTTTCCAAACATGACATGATTATAGTCGAATCGAGCAGCTCGACGAGACAAATCCAACGAGCCCAAGATAGCTGAATTCCGATATCGTTAAGACCTTCAAATGTCTGATAAATGGTCCACGATCAAAGGATTCAATATCAGCCGTCCATCCGAACCACTCCACCTTTGCCCTTGATTCTCCTTTTATTTACGGGTCATGTCATCCTCAAAAACTATAAATAGCCCATCATTTCTCTTGAGAGGGGACCCAAGCAAAAAGAAGAAGAGTAGAAGAAGAGAATGATATGAGGGAAGAAACTCCTCGACCACCACCAAAATTCTGCCCAAAGCCCAAGTGACGCCAGAATTCTGCCCGACGTCCAAGTGACGCCGGAATTTCGCCCGACTTTCCAGTGACGCCGGAACTCTGCCCGGTTTCCAAGTGACGCTGAAAATCTAAGTGACTGAATTCAGTTTGAATACACAACTTGTTTGTAACTGGACTTTAATTCGTAAGTGAATCATTGTAATCTGATCATCCTAAATTTTAAGGACGAGTCAGCATCTTGTATCTCAAGCAAACACTAGTGGAATTATTTCAACTGAGCATGGCCCTGTGATTTTTTCTCTTTCCAGGGTTTTTGCACGTAAAAATTCTGATGTTTTTTTTATTTCTCTCTTGTTTGTTGTTGGATATCCGTGCAAAGCTGGAACGAAAACTTTAGTTCTATCTGTTAACTTTGTATGTAACTCCCTCTACATGTGGAGTATAAGAGTATACAGCTATTATGTTCACATTGCTATCAAGCTAACTGGAAATCCTAGCTTCCAGGCTTTGGAAGTGGAAGAAATCAAAATTTTGAATTCTTACACGCTGACAAAATTTTGGAAGTTACAGAATGAAATCATGATGCAAATATTTCAAGCTTTTGAACAAATGCATTCTTCCTTTCTTCATTGATTCTCAAAATTTTACAGCTCAGAAACATTACATACAACACCAAACTAGCCGTTAGTTCTTATCTATAAAGCAAGAATGACAAGGAGTTATCATCTAACAGATCTGCATAAATGAATAGTTTGGTTAAGGAAGAAAAAAGCCAATCTTTGGATCTTTTAAAAATAGTATTATACAACAATCTCAAACATCCACTGCATCAACTGGTAGAGATTTGGTTCTCAATATAGGAGAAGGTAAATTGTTTCCAGTATATAAGCTCTTCGCTGTGACCTTAGGTTCAGAATTTCTGTTGGGATTTGAGATGCTGAAGAATTTGTCAAAATTTAAGTCAACTTCAAAATCAGGGACTTGATCGTTAGAAGGAATATGAAAGCCACGATTATTTCCAAGATGAAAAGACTTCATTGTCGCCCCTTTCGATGCTAGCAATGAACTACAACTTAAGCCATCTTCCATTTTCTGAATCAAGTTGCAGCGTTCAGGAGATGGATGCAGATCTCCCTTTGACTCACTCAGTTCATACTGGATCTCATTTTCATGTTCATCTGCTACATTTGATGCATCTTCATGGTGTTTGTTCTCAGAATTCACATTCAGATCCCATAATTCACTTGATATTTTCTTCTTGCTACTAATCTCCACATCCATATTGGAAGAACACAAGTGATCACCTTCTTCATGATAATGACATCCTCTTGAAGCCAGTTCATCAGAATGACCAGAAGAGATCACCAGTTCTCCCTGCAACACCTCGTCTTGGTAAGTAATCTCTTCAAATCGACTGTGCACTGGTGCGCATTCAAGATTGGAGCTGTAATATGACTGAATATTCTCGAATCCGGGACCTTTTAAAGTAAGAAAGTCTAGAGGCGAATCGCATGAGAAAGCATTGGATGTGCAATTCTTGCATTGGTTCTTCAAATAGAATCTAGTTGAATTGTCAATTCCCAGACCTGCCTTCCAACCAGGAACCAAGGTTGAGAGCTCACCATCGATCATTTCTGCTATCCTTGTTACCTCATAGTCAGTAATGTCTAATTCAGAAACCATTTCAACTGCAACATTCAGAGCAGTATCAGCTTCAACATCAAAGGGGAAATAAATATTCCTCACATGGCCTGCAAGAAGAAAAATATTATATTGAGCTGGTTCCAAGTTTTCACATAAGAAGAGTTGCAGATCTACCATACCGTTTTTATCTGTAATCCTGAGCCTAAGAAACACTACTCCATCTTCTCTCCTTCTTCCTTTGATAGCAATATCCACATTACCAAAATGTTCCTCCTCTTGATTATTGAACAATTCCATACCATGGATTTCTAGCTCATCATCAGTGTAATCCAACCTGTTCTTGAAGTATGGTTCATCCGTAATTAATGAGCCATTTCTATGTTGAAGAGTTAAAGAAGGTTGCCACAATCCGATTTCAATGATATCTCCATTGTCGACCACTGGGCCAAGACCATCAATTTGGAGGAAAGGGTCTTTTAGAAGCTCCCAAGCAGGCAATCTCTGTGACGCTGCGACCAAACATTTCTCCACAAATCGCCTCACCTCTGGGTCCTTGACTTTATATAAAGCCTCAGGTTTTGTTCCCTGCAGGAAGATGAAAGGTAAATGAATTTCAACAACAACAACAACATCAAGCCTTTATCCCACCGCATGGGGTCGGCTACATAAATCATTTTTCTCCATTGTGTCATGTTAAGAGTCAAATTCTCATTTAAATCTAATAAAGAAAAGTCGTTTCTAATATTTTTTTAACCAAGTCTTTTTAAGTCTATTTCTACATTTCTTAATATAGGCCAAATATAATACATCTACTTTCCTAACAGGGCCATCGGAATGCCGCCATTTTACATGACCAAACCTTCTAAGGTGACTCTCTCTAATCTTATCTGTCACTAGAACTACTCCAACCTTTTCACGGATATGCCCATTTTATATCTTGTCTATAAGAGTAAATCCAATCATCCATCTGAGCAACCTCATGTTAGCAACACAACTTAATATTATGCTTCTCTTTTAATGGACAACATTCTGCGCCATAAAGCATTGCTGGTCTCACCACCATCTAAGAGTAAATGAATTTCAACAAAAGAGAAAAAAAGGTTGATACAAGACACTTCTTCTTCTTAAAGTATATCAGACAATTTTTTTATCAAATTGCAAATCATTTGCTTCTATTCTACAAGAAAAAAAATCAAGCATATTATAGATGTCTAACTTACAAGAAAAATATACATTTATTGTCTAGCAATTCAAGAATAACCATCATGTATATTCAGCTAAATTTAAAAAAAGGAATATAAATAGCTAATTTTTAGCATTTCAAACACAATGAACAAAGAACTTCATAATTTTTCAGACCAAACAAGATAAGATCTCTCACCGAAATAACTTTTTTATAGATTTGAGCAGGATGCGTACATTCACTATAAGGATAATCAAAGGTAACCATCTCCAACACACACATTCCAAAAGAGTATATATCCACCAATTCATTGTATTCTTCCTCATAGACCTCAGGGGCCATGAACTCTGGAGTCCCTGAACATGAACAATTTCATTAAAATCTAATTCTAGTATATAAACATGAGGCAAACTCAAAGAAGGATGGAACACTCACCAACACAATGGACGGCTTGGGACTTGCGGAGTATGGCGGCGAGGCCAAGATCACCAATCTTAACCTCTCCCTGATTCCCATTGATGAAGATATTGTCACATTTGAGATCCCTGTGAATCACAGGAGGGTCATGGCTATGAAGGTAGACAAGCCCCATGAGAATTTGCCTGCACCAATGCTTTACTGCCCTGAGGTTCACCTTTCTATATCTCTGCCTATACCTACATACACAAATCAAACACAACAAATTAGAAGATTTCAAGAGGGAAGAAGACAGTGAAGTTTCACATAAAAAAGAGATGGCCTGCTCACTGCTTAAGGGTTCCAGAGGTAAACAACTCAGTAATAAAATTGATGTTTCTCTTAGAACTGTCAACCCATGATGTATAGAACTTCATAATGTTCTTGTGCTTAAGTGCCTTTAAGAGGTGAATCTCACAATAAAGCCTCTCCAAATCCTGCGCGCTCTGAAGGAAATCATTAAGTTTAACCTGGTTCCAAGCAACCTCGATTCCTTCATACTCATCAAAAGCCCTATATCTGCTGAAACCGAATCATCCAACATAAAATAAAGTCAATATCAAATTGTCTTTTTTCTCACTTTTGGGCAATGAGGATTTAGGATCTTACACAGTTTTCGAAGCTCCTTTGCCAAGAATTTCGTTGTACTGCGATAAACCAAATAAGAAAAAGTGATGAGGATAGAGATGGGAGGAGAAAGGAGAAACCTTTAGGAACAAGAAACAACAAACCCTTCCATATCTTCCGCTGGGATCAAACTCCACAAAATCTGGGTAATCTTCTTCCTGAGGCTTCACGCTCATCATTCGATCTTTCTTTAACTGAGCTTTCTTATGAGCTAACACCACTCTTCCTCAGAGCACCCATAGATCAACTTCGCATCCTTCTTCAATCGTTTGGATCTACGGGGAAAAAGAGGGTAGATGTTGGTGCGGACTGTGAAGAGAGGATAGTAGAAATATTACCGGCAACTGCTTTGGGCCATGTAAGTTTTAGCCTTCAAGCTTTGTAAAATGCTACAGTATCAGCCTCAAAATTTTCATTTTTTTAATATGTCCACAGTTGAGTTGGAGTATATAAAATTATTTTTTTATTAGTTTTTTCTCTTTACTTCTAAATGGATATAATAGCATTATTTTTATATTATTATTAAATTACAATTTTTTATTTATTTCACCCGTTTTTTGTAAATCATAATATTATTACATTAATTTTCAAATAAAACTAGATTTTGAAGATAATTATATCATAAATATAATAAAATAATATTTCTAAATTTTTCTAATAATAAAAAATGTATTAAAATATAATCTAAATTAAAATTTTATACAGTAAAATAATATCCAATTTTATTTTTATATTGGGATAAAAATTAAATTTTAATAAAATATTTTTATTTTTATTTTCTATTAAAAGCTCCTAAAAGGGCGCTCAGCCACAGAACATGTAGATTGTAGAACAAGTGGAGGGTCCTCTGCTTTCGGCCCATTCCTCTCATTTCCTCCACACGTGCTTCTGTAGAAAACCACATAAACTTTCTCTCTCTTGACCAGCTTTAGAGCGAGAAAAAAATATAAAAAATATTTTCTGGGAATAAATAATAAAACTCTAAACATATATTTTTATAAAATTTAGGATTTATATGAAATCTTAGATAATTTTCATTAATTAAAAATACAGCTTAAATATTTTGAAAGCCTAAATTATTCTTCTGATAAATTATTTAATTTAGTGTATTTTTTACTTAAAATATTTATATTTATTTAAATTATTACCTTTTGAAATAAATATTTATTGTTGATTTATATGCTTAAAATTTGCAATATATTTATAAAAGCCTTGACAAAAGATTTTATAATAGAGGAGAAGGCTTCGTGTTTGTATTATTATTATATTTGATTAGAAAATTTTATAGGTAAATAAATTAAAAATTCTTAAATTTCATAAAATCTTACTTCTAAGACAAAAAAATTATATTTAAAATATTTATATTTGGTCCAAATTGTTATATCTGTTTAAAACATATTTTATTTAAATAAGAAATTTAATGCTTGGTAATATCTTCTATGTCAATTTCCTTAAGTACTATAAGATCTAATATTTTACACATTTTATTAAGCATTAATTATTAATAATTAACAAAATCCTATTTTATGTGTGAAGTATAATATTAATTTAAGTAAAATGAAATATTATTGCATATTATTCAGGTATATTTTGTTGGATTTAAACATTTTTTATAAAAGATAATTAGGATTTTATTAGAAAAATGAATCACGTCCGAACTACAAGAAGAATGAAAAAATAATTTTTTTCTCAAAGAAACACTTAATAATTGGTTTAAGGGTTTTTTTTTTTTAATTGAAACCCAAAAGGGCCTACATGTTAATCAAGAGAAGGATATGAGTACATGAAAAACACAGAGCTAGATAATGCTCCCAAGAACAATATTAAAGGAGGTATGACGAGCTTAATGAATAAAAACTGGACTACATAATAAAGAGTAATTCAAAATACAATAGTAGAAGATGAAAAGATCCAAAGATTCAGACTCAGGAAAGAGGTCTTGCATACCCGCCCCCAAGCTAAGCAAGGACCTTCCATTGGAGGCTACAAACCAAGATCCAAAACCAGCAACAAAAGCCCACAAAAGTCTTTCAAACCATAAGATAAATGGCCATCAAGGTTGCGAGCAAGCTAGAGTCAAAAGGTGGCACACAAAAGCCTCAGCATGGTTGCCTGGAAATAGAAGCCAGAAGGTATTTGGCAAATACCAACCCAACAGAGACAATCGTCAAAACAGACCTCAAGAAGCAGAAGAGGATAACATCGACGAAGAAGAAGAAACAACCACCAATCCAAACCAAAAGGGAAATTAATTTTTTAGATTTATGTTTTTTTTTCCTGCTAATTTTAGTAAAAATGCTTATTTAACAATAAAGAGCAAGTTAGATTATTAGGGCAACATAACTCAAAGGAAGAAGATGATTTTGTCTGAGGTTTCATATGCCCAATGTTGACAACTTAATATAGTTACACAGAAGATAATGAATCGAACTTGTAATAGTTGGTTGTGTAGTGGGTAAGTCATGTTGAAAGGTAGAGCGATTCTTTGAACGAATAATCTAGGATAAGTTATTCAAGTGATAGCTAAATGGTTGGTGAGTATTCTATATCAATGTAATATGTATACCGTGTATGAGTGGGGAGCCTCTCGAGCCTGATGAAAATCAAGAACCGGAAAGAAAGAACAGAGACGAAGAAGAACACCGCAGAGCGAAATAGGAAAAATGGATTTATTATTACTTACTTTACTTAATCTGTACATGAGTATACATCTTATTATATAGAGTAATACATGACACGCTTAGCCATGTGTTAAACAGATATTGGATAGAAAAACAAAAGAATATTATTGGTAACGTGAAAGCTATATTCTAACATTCCCCCGCAAACTGATATTTGGATGAAATATTCAGTTTGGAGCGAAGGGTTTGAAACCTGGTAGTGGAGAGCGGTTTAGTAAATATGTCGGCTATTTGATCAATTGTATTGATTGGTAACAGCCGAATTGTTTTGTTATGGATGTGATCCCGGACAAATCGTTGGTCGATTTCGATGTGTTTTGTTCTGGCATGAAAAACTGGGTTGTTGGCCAGTGCTATTGCGGAGTTGTTGTCACAAAAAATGTCAATCGGCGGTTGGTGCGGGATCGAGAAATCTAAGAGAAGTCTTTTTATCCATATTGTATCGGCGGTGGCTGCAGCGAGCGCTCTATATTCCGACTCCGTAGAGGACCGAGAGACGGTGGTTTGTTTCTTGACTGTACAAGAAACTATAGTGTCGCCAAGGAAGGTGCAAAAACCGGAGATTGACTTCCGGGAAACTGGATCGGCCGCCCAGTCGGCGTCCGAAAAAGTGCGGAGAAGAAGATTTGATCTCGTGATTGGTATGTCGAGATCATTTGTGCATTTGATGTAGCGTAAAAGGCGTTTTAAAAGAGATGTGTGAATAGCTGCCGGGTCATGCATGTGTTGTGAAAGCATGTTGACGGAAAATGCAATATACGGCTGAGTGAGCGTTAAGTATTGCAGTGATCCGATGATCCTCCTGTAGGTGTTTTGATCAAAGCATGGATGGTCGTCGGAGGTCTGAGGCAGAATTTTAGTGCAGGATGGGTTAGCAAGTGGATTACACAATGTAAGATCAGCTAATTGAAGAATTGAATTGGCGTATAAACTTTGAGATAAATGATACTTATCTGGGTGAGTTTCAATCTGTATCCCGAGGAAGTAGTTGGCTGGACCCATGTGTTTCATTGTGAACTTGGTTTGCAATTTTTGTAGTAGTTCAGAGATAGCAGTTGAGCTATTTCCGGTTAGCAGAATATCGTCTACGTAGACGAGAAGGTATAGACGAGTGTCGCCTTGATGCAGCGTAAGTAACGATTGGTCAGCTTGGTTGTGCTTGTGTCACGACCCGACCCGACCGGAACGGATCCCGCTCGCACCGGGTCGCGACACGGAACGGAACAGACTGACTGACCAGGATCTGGATTTGGAATTTGCTTACTGAACTAAATCTTCCAAATTATTTCAACTCAAACACCAACACACAGAACAAACCAGAGATACTATGAATCATCAAATGCAGCGGAACAAATCATCTATATTTTTCTTTCTTTTCCTCAAAACAATCATCTACAAATACGGTACATGATTAACAGAAGAAATACATAAGAAAAGCCATGACCGTACAAAAATCAAAAGTACAAAAGTACCTATCACAGATCGGACTCTGAACTCTAGTCCTGGACTTCCTTCCCTTTCCCAGAACCTGAAAACCACCAGAAAACGAGAATGAGCTCAACAGCTCAGCAAAGCAATAAACCCCAATCAAAATTCTCAGAATCCAAAACCAAAGAAGAGACTGTTCGAGATATTGTTGTATCGCAAGGTAAGACACATTCTGCCTTTCTCAATTTTTCAGAACCGTCGTGTTTGCGGTGTTTTCTTCGGATTTTGTTTTCGTTAACGCGATTTTCGTCCGTATCTTTTGATTAGTTCAGTTTTGCCGTGTAACTTTCTGTATATTGTTATGTGCCGAGTGTGCACATTTTGATTATTTTCTGAAGATTTTTTGTCCGGTGCTTTTTGATTCGACGGAAGTTTTTAGTCGACTGGATTTTTCTGTGAAGTGAAAATTATCTGTGCAGTAGAATAAATGTTCTGAAATGTTATTATCTACATTATGTACGAATTTGGTAAATTATAATTTTCAGGAAAATTGTGTAAATTCCGTATACTGCCGTTGTGCTGCCCGATTTTTGTCTGATTTCTGATTTTGTCCGGATTTCTCTGAATTGATATGCTATTGTATATGCTATACAAAGGGAGTTATAAGGGCTTGGTGTAATATAAAAAAATCTGCTCCAGAGATCGGGTCCAGGGAACGATCTGGATCGTCCTGGCGATCAGTGGGAAAGTTTGTCTTCCAGATTTTGCCAGTTTTGCTCCAAGGTGATTTTTTGTACACATCGTCCAGCGAGGGACTCGTCCAGGCCGATCGGCACTGTAAGAAAATATGCCTGAGAATAGTTCTGGAATCGTCCAGGGCGATCGGGACGATTGAATTTTGGTCTGATCTCCGGGACGATACTGGCGATCGGCCGGGCCGATCTGAAGGTTTATAAAGCTGAAATCAGTCGTTTTGAAGAGAGAAGAAAATCAAATTAAAAATAAAAATATATTGAGGAGAGAGAACATCGAGGATTATTTGGAGAAAGTTGAATTTTCGGACGACGCGGAGCCGTTTCCATCCGAAGAGACTGTTTAGAATATTGCTGTACGCGAGGTAAGGCACATTCCGCCTTTCTCAATTTTTTAGTTCCGTCGAGTTTTGGCGATATATTCTGTCACGGATTTGTTTCCGTTACGGTTTTTCGTTCCGTATCTTTTGATTGTGTGTTCAGTTTTTACTGCGTAACTTTCCGTAATTGTTGCGTGCCGAGTGTGCACATTTTGGTATTTTCCGAAGATTTTTTGTCGGAGTATTTTTGATTCGGGCGGAGTTTTTCGTAGACTACAATGTTTCTGTGAAATGGTAAATTCTCCTGTGGCAGTAAATAAAAGTGTTTCGGAATGTGATTATCTATATTGCTGTGCGAATTTGGTAAATTTTCTTTGCAGGAATTTTGTGGTAAATTCTGTCTACCTGCCGTTGTGCTGCCGATTTTTTATCTGATTTCTGAATTGGCACGGATTTCTTCTGAATTGAAATGCTATGTGTATAGCTATAAAGGGAGCTATAAGGGGCCTGAATCCTATGAGATTCGTAGTGTCTGGGGAAATTTTAGTTGAGCTTCAAAATTGGAAAATTTCTGTTCTGTCCCGGATCCAGAGGATTACTCTATGTTCTGCCGTGGCACATTTATGCTTAGCTATTAATTTATTCAGCGAATTTCTGGTGCCGTGAGCACAAGGGAGACATAAGGGTCAGAATCCGTAAGTGATTCTGTTTAGTTTAGCTTAGCTATAATTAAATATCTGATATCCGCATTATCTGATTCTAGATTTATGTATCTGGTTCTGTTGATATGAATCTGCCATCTAATTTCTGATCTGATTTCGATCTATTCCTAGGTGATATCTTTCTGTTGATTTTCTGTAGACGATTCTGACTCTGTTGAATTTATTCTGTTCTTGATTTGTATTCTGAGGTGAATCTGATCTGTACGACTCTGATTCTGATTGTGATATCCTGTCCGTAATAAGTTCTGATTTTCGATTCTTTCTGTTCGTGAATCGATTCTGTTTTGCCGTTTCTGATTTCGGATTTCTGTCTGATGGTTTGGTTTTGGATTCTGGAATTTTGATTGAGGTTTGTTGCTTTGCTGAGCTGTTGAGCTCACCCTTGTTTTCTGGTGGTTTTCAGGTTCTGGGAAAGGGAAGGAAGTCCAGGACTAGAGTTCAGAGTCGATCGTATAGGTACTTTTTTACTTTTGATTTTTGTACGGTCATGGCTTTTTCTGTTTTTTTCTGCTAGCATGTACCGTATTTTAGATGATTTTTGAGGAAAAGAAAGAAAATAGATGTTTTTGTTCCGCTGATTTGTGATTATAGTAGCTCTGGTTGTTCTGTTTGTGTGTTGTCGAGTTGATATATTTTGGAAGATTAGTTCAGTACCAAATTCCAAAGCCAGATCCTGGTCAGTCAGGTTTCTGTCATGGAGACCCGGTGCGAGCGGGATCCGTCCCGTCGGTCGGGTCGTGACAAACTTTAGTGGTATCAA